TGGATTCCTTTTCCACTCTGCTGCGTTTCCCCTTTCCATCGTTTTCGGTTTTCGCTCGCAGAAGATTGCGATGTTGGGACAAGACTTGAGGAGAGTCTCTCAACACTGCACGCAAAAGGCACCTAAAAGACAAAAGGAAGGAGTACTTGCACATAATGTGTGCTCAATGCGATGCATGATTCTTGCAGAAATCTGCTGAGCACTGCTCTGTCTGTAGATCTTGCTCTGCACGAGAAATGCTTAGCGCTGGAAAATCAATCAGGGATTGCATTACATTATATTATATTTACATGCACAGTAGCTGTAGTGAACAGTAACTGCATTGCACTATATAGACAGTTGAAACACTAACAAACAAACAAGAAAGAGTAGACAGAGGAGGGAAAAGGCAGGATTCGTGCTTTCAGAAGCTAATCATCACTCAAGGACATTATTGCATCATCTAAAAAAAACAGAATATATATGCAGAGAGATATATATTAGGCTCAGTGCCGGTCCAAGAATTTTGAGGACGCTCTGGCGAACTCGTCATGAAGGCCATCTAGACCACATATAAAATCTTATAATATATAGACGCTAATTTTTGTTGCAAAGCGAAAACAAATCCAGTGATATATTTTTAATTTAACATGTTTGATAGTTATCGAGGAACAATGTAAACTAAAACGGCCCAGGAGTGGCCTGTAAACTCCATTTCTCTCAAAATATAAACTGATGATTGGCTGATCCGCCTGATCGTGTCGTCGTCGAGTTGAGCCTGTGAGTGCACCGTTTCCGTGTTTCCGGCTCTCCGCGGCGACTGGCGGCGGTGCGGCGTGGCTCCGTCTCCGACTCTCCGTGACTCCCTGAGACCGTGACCCTTCGCCCTGGGCGCTCGCGTACGTAGTAAACTTGTGGACTGGGGAAGCAAACGCTCGGCGCCCCTAATCCTGAACGTCTCGGGCTGCCTATCAAGTGCCATCGGACTATAGAACTGGGGTCTACAATACACGTGGGTCTAGGCCGCTCCCTCCCCTGGCCCCTCGGCGGTCGCACCTCTGGCACCTCTCTAGGGCCGGCACTGATTAGACTTGAGCTGTAGGCTGCAGCATTGAACTTGGTCAAGTTGCACATATTGCTAAATAATGGTAGCTAGCTTTATACAAACATAGAGATATAGAGCAAAATCCACAGGACCATTTCGATCTCCAATAACCGATATTCTTAGTAGAACTGTAATTGGCAAAACTACAGATAGTTGGAGATGGACCAAAAAAGAAAAGAAGAGAAAAGAAAAGAAAAGAAAAGAAAAAGGGTAAACCAACAACAAAAGCAGCAGCAGCAGCAGCTAGCAACAATCACCGAGGGTAGGAAAGCGAAAACGAGTCTGAATTGAGAAAAAAATGCCTGGCTTTCCCGCATGCCAAATCCGCACGTATCACCGGGACACGTACGGCTCCTTCTTCGCCAGGGCTCTCCTCAATCCGTTGATGAGCCGCTGGTCTGCACGACGGCGAGCTCGCTCCATAGATGGCTTTGCTCCGAAGAAGAACGACGACTCAGAAGGCGAGAAAGGAGAAGCTTCTCCGGGCGTCACCGGAGCGGCAGCGGCAGCCTCTCCGGATGGACGGGGGGCTGGAGAAGAGACGGCACGTCGTCGCTGGAGACGGTGGCATTGGCGGCGTCCTCCTCGTCCTTCTTCATGTCCCGGCGGCCGGTGAGGAGTAGCTGCTGCTGGCTCAGAAGGCACCAAGAAAGCGCGTGTGTTTGAGAGGGAGAGGGAGAGGGAGAGGGAGAGAGCGATAGAGAGGGGAAGGTTTGTTTGCACTAGAGGGCTAGAGGCAAGTGCGGTAGAATATAAAACTGAGGTTTTTAAACACACACAACCTTAGCAAGAGCTCACACCAGGACCTTCTGTGACTGCATACATGTGCCACGCCTATCTTGTGCACATTTTTTTTGAAAAAGCCAGCAACAATAAATAGAGAAGAAGCAAGTGAACATATTTAGGCTATGTTTGGTTCAGTTTCTAAAAAGTGCTTCTGTTGCTAAAAAAAAAAAAGCAGAACGCTGACCAAAGTAGAGTCATGAGCAGCTGCTTTTGCGTGATATAATTTCACCTTTTCTAAATTGATAGAAATAGAGAGACTTTCTTGCAGTTGTTTCAAGGAAAATAAAGAGAGGAGGTAGGTTTCATAGTTGTTTTAACCAAACAACTTTTTTTACAGTACATAGTGCACACCAACTCTTTCGCAGCTTATAGCTGAACCAAATATGCCCTTATTGTGTTCTTTTTTTTTATTCTAACATGCTACAATTACAAAGTACAAAGCCTCTGCTATAGTGTCTAGCAACTAATTGTTGCTATAGTTTTTTTTTTTTGGGTTCTTTGCTAGCCACTGCAGAGGCTACATTAAAGTCTTGATGACAGGAAAATGATTATTTTAGTGCTCATTTTATATGTAGTTTAGCAAAAATGTTACTTCGTTAGAATCTGCATGCATGGTTCATCACATAAACAGAACTACTGGCTCAAAAGTCAAACCCTCAACCCTAAGTATATGTGTAGGATTAGATTAAACTTACATGTTTACATTCTTCCACCACCGTAGTAAGAGTAATAATTAAATAAAGACGGATGCAGAAGATCTAAGCTTATAAAGCGAGATAAAGGAAGAAGATTGTTCACACAAGTAACTAACCAAAGAACGAACGAGCTCTAAGGCTTTGGTTTTGTTGATCAAAGAGACAGTATAGTGGTCCAAAAGTGAAAAATTGGGCCTCTTTTCCTCACCCACATGCATGCACTCTTCCAACTTGCCTAAACAGTGAAAGGTGGGAAGAAGTCATGCATGAGGTTCTCTTCTGCCGTTAGGCTTAGCAATTAGCATTATTGGTGACTTTTTGTTTTGTTTTGTTTTGTTTTGTTTTGTTTGCCCTTCAAATCTCAGTTTGGGAAAAGCGTTTTCAAGGAACAGTACGTTCACCAGGACATCTACCTTGCGTGTGGAATCTGGCAGCACTACCAGTAATTTGATAGAAGAACGTGTGTAAAACCCAGGCATTGTTTTTCTATGAAAACACCCCAACTTTCTTCATAGGTTTTACACTGCGGTCCTGCGCTTCTGATCATGCCAGAGTTGTGACCGATGGTACTTGTCATGCACCCAATTCAAAGACTTCCAGACCTTTTTCACATTTTTGCCTTCTGTTTCACTCAATCATATAACGATGACACTGAACATTAACAGAGATAGATTATTAAACACCTACTATCACGTAGCTGATTTTGCCAAAATGGTATGTGAATAATGTGATGTTTTGGACTCTCAAGATGGTAACCCTTGCTTTGGCTACAAGGCGAACTGATGGCTAAACACTTCTAACCACATATAGAAAACCATGGCAGTGTTGTTTGTGAATCGTGACAACTCCAAGTCTCCAACCAAATGGTAAACTATTGTTAGGGTCGTGTGGAAAGGCACGGTACGGTAGGGGTTTTCATGGGAGAGCAAAGAAACTTCATTTAGGACTGTTGGAAACTTAATGTTATCTACTAACCGTAAGAATGTGTGGAAATTTACTTTGACTCAACATTAGTGCTGGCATTTTCAGGTTACGATTCTTTTATTCCTAGACTAGACGACGTACTATTCAATCTGCCTGCTCTATTCGTCGATCTCAAAATCAGTCTAGAGTAAAGTGTGTGTGTGTGAGCACTGTAATTAATAGCAAAAACATAAATCTGCCTTCTCTATTCCTTACCTCTCGAAAACAAATAAGATTTTTCGCCAAAAGAGCAATAAGCATTTCAGACCTCCAGACCAGAGCCAAAATGGGAATCCAAAAGCGGCAAAGCCCAAGGCATCGCTAGCAGGGCCTGGCCCACCATGCACCGCACCACGCGCGGCTCGGGTGACAGGCCGCCTAAGGCCACGGGCCCACGGCCCACGGCTGCTTTGACCTCCCAGCTCCGGGGGGGCCCACACGCCACTCCGTCCGTCCGGCCACGGCCGCCTCTGCGGCCAGCCGGCCACCACACCTCACGTCACGTGCAGCCCCGGCCCCGCATGCACCCCGATCCCGGGGGCTCCGTGGTCATTTCGGCCGGCCAGCGAGCGAGCCAGACCACCGCCCGATCGTCGCCGCACCGCACGTGCGGGTCGCCGCCGGTCGGGCGTTCCCGGGACCGAGTCCCACGACACCGGCCCCGGCTCTTCCACCAATGGCGACGGCATGGCGCCCGCCCACCGAGCCGCGGCAGCTTCTATGCCGGCGCACGCGTCCGTCGCCGTGGTGGTGGTGGCATCCAGCTCCCTTCTCGGAGTGGCAACCAGTGTGGCCTGTGGAGTCTGGAGATGCACAAACACAATGGCCAACAGCACAGATTGCAATGTAAGGAAATTTGCTTTTTTGGCCATGCTGAATGAATGGCACTACTGTCCGGTTCTTACTCGAAACGTCGTTTTCAGATCTGTCCGTAAAACATCAAACATGAATGAAGTTCATGGAGTTTTGAACTGTCCTTTGTACAAAAGACTCTATGTTCCCAGTATCTGAAAGAAACTCGAGCATACCAAAAATGCCTAAACATGCACCGTGCTCTGCCAGCAGGCGATGGCATGTTATTATATTATATATAGATAGACGAACAAAATATTCAGAATGCAAGTTGCGACAGGAAACCAAATCATCCAGCAAGGTACGCAGGCAACGAAAGATCTGTACTGAATAATTCATTTTCTCATCTTTGCTGTCTCAGGCTCAAAGCCAATCAAGTCCATGGACCATGGCAAGATGTTTCGCCAGAAACAGTTACAAGGTCAAGCAGTAAGGGCATGAATGTAACAATTAACGAAAGTAAATGATCCAATGACAGACTCTACCAACGTTAGCGTAACCTCAGCATACTCCAAAGCCGGCCGTAGAACAAACTAGCTCACACCTGTGAAGACAACGCGAGGCACATTAGCAGCCACTATCCCCTACTCTACACAGCAACGATGTCACGGGAAGGTCATTCACAAGCAGAAGAGGGATTCTTTTTTCCTTGGTAATCTAGGCTTAATAGTCTTCATCCTCGATCCAAGCATTTGATGGCCCTTGATGGACGGCCTGATGGCCCATGCCTTGGGACAGGAACCGACGAGAGGTGTTGCATCCTTGCCGCAAGCGCAGTCCAGGGAAGGTGTTTCTTGGTGGCAGAGTTCTGGCATTATGCCGGCCACAGGCGGCGAGTGGTCTGGCTGCCCACACCAGGAGGCAGCTCCGGGTGTTGCTGCTGCTGGCCTGTGTTCCGTCGGTTGATGATGGATGCCAGCTGCAGGCCTGCCCGCCGGTGGTGCATCGCTCAGCTCTCCGTCCTCCAGGAGTGGTGAGTCTTCCATCATCCAATAGTGAACTCCAGCTGCCTGTCTGCCTGCCTCTGATGCATTCCCCGGCAAATGATACGGACCAGGAGCCGATGTTACCTCATCGTGATCGGCATCAACAGTTGGTTTCTCTGCCGATGCACTTCCAACAGCATCCGAGGCTTCAGAGTTGATGCCTCCATGCTCTGGCATTGACAAAGCTTGATCTTTTCTCTGAAAATCACTCTCTGACAATGAAATGCTCATATCAGAGCACGTTTCTGTATGATCATAGGTTGGATCGCTCCTTCCTGGTCCTGTGGTTTCATAGTTGCAAGGTTGCCGCGATCGCCCATTGATATCATTCCAGCAGTCCCCTGGAGAAGTTGTTGGGTCATGGAACGTGTCAGACATCAGCTGATCCAGATAACAGGGAGGTATGCCTGCGACCTCTGCATCATTTCTCCACATGCTCTGTGGTAGGTACAGATACAGACATATCCCTTTGCAAATCACCAGAGGACGCAATTTCATTGAGGATGTGCCTCATTGATTTGGCGATCTCTGAGTGCCTCTTAGCCCAATCACTACGGCTCCACAGAGAAAGCGGAGGAGGTGACATATTCCATTGCTCCATCACCTTGTTGTCAACACCCAGAGATCCAGGTAGATAGAATGACTGCATAGTTTCCCAACAGAAAATGTCAGTAAAGAGCAATATTCTGAGGATGTGATGTACTCAAGGAGACTACTGTCCAGAAGTACCTTTCCGGAGAGCTGATCTGAGTCCTGCCATATTAGCTCATATGGTGGGTATTTCTTGTCCAATCTATCCAACATCAAGAATGGAATGGTATGAGATATCTTTTATAAAGAAAAAAAAACATGCAGAAAGATAGGGAGAGGGGAAACCTTTCAGTTTCTTTGGGAACAATGAGTATTATAAGTTTTGGCTTGAAAGTGAGGGCTTTGTTGATGAACTGGTTCGCAAGAGAGGCTTTAACCCCAAAGGGAGGATTCAACCCCATGACCTGTGAATAACAGTAGTTGATCAACTTAAATAACTAATACATTATGTCTCCAATGGGATGAGAGCAATTCAACATGTAAAGCTCCTGTTATCGTACCAGTCTGCATCCTGTGGGCAATTCATCTGGTTGAACAGTCATCCAGTCTCGTCTCTCAAAATTGAAATCATTCTACAAAATTGAAGACGATGTTCTGCATGTGAGCTGTGGTAGAACACTTTACCAATACATTTAAAATGAAGTGGCAAAAGATATCAGGTGTGATTTCAGGCCATCTCTAGTATGTAGCATAATCAAAACTTAAACAACTTCATAGGTGGCGTTACTAAATATTAAAAACGCAAATAAACAGACACTGGCCAATGCAGAATTAACAGGTATACCACCTTTGGTTGGATGAGATCATAATTTTTGTAGAAGCAAATTTTTCCCAGAAGATTTCAATGTGCTCCTAGAGTCTTGCTTATGGTGTTGTTCATCGGATCAAGTCACGTCTTGCATTCTATTGAACTACAAAACAATCACTTGCAAAATCATTGGTCCAATTTGGTCGTGTTGGTCATCAAACATCAAAATTCAAAGTTAATGGGCCTAGAGTCCTTTTTCCTTACGTTACCGCCGCCGCCACATTGTCCTCCTCGATCCTACACCATGACAACACCATAGCTCACCTCCAACCACCGCAATCGCTGCCTCAATCCCCGCCCACCTCCCACGTCTCCACTTACCTATCCGTTCCCCTTCTCTTCTCCCTTCTCATTGTGCTGCTCCGCCGTCGCTTCCTCCATCGCTAGCCTTAGCCGTCGGCAATCTCACCGTCCACCTTCCACTAGTGCTGGCATCGTCTCCACCATCCTTCTGCATCGGGTGTCCTCCACCGTCGCCTTGTCTCGTTGGCCACGAATGGCTACAGTGTCGATAGAGATGTCACCCGTGCAAAGCCTGTGAGGGGTCACGTCCAATTTATGCTCTCACCTCACTGGCCGCGCCACCTCCGCGTGACCGCCGCACCCGATAGAAACCCGAGCCGCAGCTACTGACCCACGGGCCGGACGTCGTCGGGGCCAGGGGGGAAGGCAATCGTGGTAACGTGGAGTTTTGGTGCGTGCACCGCAGGAGTGGCTTGCGGAACCCACTTGTCATGCGACGTGGGGGGTGGCTGGGTGCATGGTGCATGGAGTGATGGAGCCTCGCTTCCCGGGCGGTTGTGAGTAACGTGGAGGCGTGGAGACAAGACGAAGTTGATGCGCGGCGTCTAATCCCCTGACGATGGGCGTGTTTGTTTCGGCTTATAATCGAAATCGGGACAAAAAAAAAAGTTTCGAAAATCCCACACAGACACATCTGATTCTTTCTACCTGAGACTTTTTAGACATCAGCTTATAATAAAATCTTATTTAAATTATAATTGATTCTTATATTCTTATTATATAAGCGGTTGCGAACAAAGCCTTTTGTCGCGATTCTCTTCAGTGCGCATCGCGGTGCCCGCCGGGGCAGCTCCTCCTGCTCGGGGAAAAACAAAGCAGCGGCGTTACGACCCGTTTGGGAGTTGGGACTGGATGGAGGCGTGTGTGCGTTCCCGTGCGAAGCTTTGCATCCGCCGGACGGACTGTGATTCCTTCCTTTGTGGAGAAAAGGGGCGACCGGTTCGATCCGATCCGATCCGGCCGGGCCGCCGGGGCAGTGTGCGTCCAGCCGTCCAGGGCAGGGCAGAAACACCAAACACGCGCCCAGGTGAGGTCCATGGGCGTTTGGGCAGCTCGGATCCCATGGCAGTTGGCATTGGCGCGCACTAGTGCGCGACTTCGGCGATTCAGCGCTTTCTTTTTGTTATAAAAAAAATACGTATATACTTACTGGTAGTGGTTTAAATATATCATATCAACTGTGTGGCCTGCTGGCCACTCGTACCGTACGTAACCTATGCCATGCATGTTGGGATGATCCCACATCCGCCTTTTACGTAATCCTACCGGCAAATAAAGGCTCAAGCCAGCAGGTTGATTATATTGCAAAAACGAACAGCGCGTCCTCTCCTCGTACCTCGCGCTAGGGACGTAGTGCACTCTTTAGCGGAAAAAACGTGGAGTTGGGCTTCCAGCTCCACCTTTTTTTTTTAGCAGAATTGTTAGAGCAAAGAGTGTTTGGCAACGCGAAGCTAGAGCAGAGCTATAAAAATTGGGGTGGAGCAGTCCCAGATACCCCTACGTCTCCATCCGTCTTTGCGCAGCAAAAGTTTGCAGAGCGGATTGCGTTGCTTTTGGACACTTTTTTTGGACTTCTGGTAGTACTGTATCAGTTCGGAGAATGCTTCTAGCTGTGTTTTGAGGTGCATCGTCGCTGGGCCGCTGGGCCGCTGGCCTGGCCACTCGTAAGTCGTAACTAAACTATATGCCGTGTTGGAATGATCCAGCAAAGATAGAGTTACCAAGCAAGGCAGATTTGCTTTTGGTCTTTTGGACACGGCCGCCACTGATCACGGTCTCAGGGAAGGAAGGATAGAGTTTGGCAAAGACTCAGGAGTGGTTTCTACCTCAGCCACACGGGGACTAGCGTTGACAACAGCTATGTTTATAGATCAAACCCAGCTATGTTTAGGAAACAAAAGAAAATATATTACACCTACTCGTAGATCAATACTAATTTCGTAGGAATTTGCACCAGTAGAGAACCTAGCTGTAGTCAACCTTTAATGGGTTTTGGATGGACATGCAATTTTAAAAATTTTAGTCCCGGTTTATCCAATCGGAGTAAAGGTGTTTATTGGGTAAAAAAAATGGTTATGAAGATTGAACATACGACCTTCCACTACTACTCTTCACGATCCATCTCTCCTACTACCACACATCTAACTTAGATAAATACGCTTTCCTTTTAAATTCGGTTTGAGATACCTTTAGTCGGGTTTGAGACATAAACCGGGACTAAAAACTAATTTCTAGTTCAGATCTCAATCCGGGACTAAAAGTCACACTTTTAATCCGGTTCATGTCTCAAACCGGGACTAAAGATTCTCGCACTGTCTTGCCTAAACACACCTTTAAATCTTTAGTATGTTAGAGCATTTTAGTACAAAATATCTGTTCAGTTTTTCTAGTCAATTAACTTCTCTACATAATAAATCATATCTAGGGACTAAAGCCAAATTTCTATCTGGATGAAAAAGTCACTTTCTCATGGTGTTGTGTTTGGAGGGTCAGATGGCACAAAGGACGAAATATTCTACACCAATCAACTAAATCCTTGGAACAATTCAAAAATGGGTTTGCATGCGCCAAATACTACTACTCTGATCCGTTTACTTACTTAAAACTATTAAAGCATAATATGTATTTTTACCAAACGGCTCGTGTGTATCAGCTAAAACTAATTTCTAGCTGCAGCCACAAATTTGTTATCTAAGAGCATCTCTATCTGTCTTTCTTAAATTCACTCTTTAAATCCTTATATGGAGAGGCATTTTAGTACAAACTATCTCTTCACACTCGAACAATTAACTTCTCTACATCTTTAAATCATATCTAGAGAGTCAGCTCTACTTTCTATCTATTTTTGAAATGGACACTTTCTATCTTTGGAGACCGAGACACCGAAATAGAGGACGTAAATATTTAGAGACCTAATTGAAGAAATTCATTGAGGTACTTTTTCATGAAAACCTTTATCCCTGTCAATACTTCATGAAGTTGGTCTAACAAGCGTTAGTCAAATCATGTTCGGATCCACCGATACGTGCATATATTCTTAGCGAGAGACTATTAGCTCTTGCTAGCTAGTTGCCCATAGCCAATGAGTTAAAGTCATAGCTATTAGGACCAGATCGGACCGATGGTCCGACCGTTAAAAGACCAAGCCAAATACTATAACGATCTGGTCTACTTAAAAACCGTCCGTGTAATCAAACCATAAAACTGATGAACCAGCTGGTTTTTGAGGAACCGATGAATTGGGCAGTTCTAAGGGAACCGATCGGGTCGTTGTTTATATTATTTGTTTGCGTATACCAGAGGTGAGTCCTAGCCTTTTTACTCTCACAACAACTCTCTTATATGGCCTAAAACGAAGTCCATTTTTGTTTCCCGAGAGCCAGGCCCAAGTGTGGTTTAAGACCCGAGCTGGCCAGGCCGAAAAGGTGGACCAGAAAAACAAACAAAACAAGCTTTGAGAGTGTGGTTGGCTGTGTTGACCGTGGGTGTGGCCCACTGGGCTGCTGTTGGCCTGTTCCTCGCTCACGCTTGGACATTTGCGTGTGTGGCTAGCTGTGATGCCTTTTTTATTTCAAAATTTTATATTTTTTTTTCATATCAGATCTAAATTAGATAATAGTATATATTTTAATTATCTTAATGTACTTTTCGCAATGGTGTAGTCCGTTTTCAAAATTTTAGATTGTTTTTTTTAACAATGAATATTTGAATCAGTATTTAAGTCCTTTTTGAAATAAATTGTAAGTGCTCCATATATTATATATCTTTTTATGCACATTTTTTTTATGATGAGCGCTACAACCACCACCAGATCGGAAAAGTGGTGGTGGTCGTAGTGTTCATCTTTTTTATGCACATTGTCGACATATCTTTTAAAACAACTCTAGAGTACCAAAACTTATGAAACTTATCAAATCAAGACATGTATTTGCAATGATGCATTATGAAATGTTGTCATTTTAGTATTTGGCGATCATCTTATTTACATATGTGATCAATTGCATGTTGCTAATTATATGTTGTATATCTTATATTATACCGGTTTGAATTATTTGTGAGCGATTCAATTCATCCGGTCTAAAACTATCGAAGAGACAGTTCAACCAGTCTCTACGGTTTGACCAATAAACCAACAAACCAATAGCCTCGCCGGTTCGATGGTCAGTCCGATCCTAATAAATATGGTTAAAGTTAGATATAGGTTTTGCTAATTTTTTAACCAACCTGATAGCCCTCCCTTTCTATCACATTGGGCTAATGTTGGGGAAAATATTCGATCGTCGTGCGCGCTGGGCAGCTGATGGATGGGCCAATGTACCTATGCTAATTAAATGAGCCATATGCATAGTGTTTCTATGCGGATGGTCTGAACCGATTTCCCCCTATTTTTTAGCAGCTAATATGATTAGGTCCAGTGCAAACACGTCCTAAGGCTTTGATTGATAATTATTACGTACTCCCTCCGGTTTCTTTAAGATGTCGTGTTGGACAGCGACACGGTCTCAAAAACCAACTTTGACCGCTACTTTTTGCTATAAAATATTTATAAAATATAGTTAATATATATACTTTTATAAAACTACATTTTAAGATGAATATATTTACATTATTTTTTTATTTTCAAACTCAACCTAAAAAAATTTATTTATAGTTAAAGTTTAAAATATTTGACTTAAAACAATCTCAAAACGAAACCGGAGGGAGTAATAACTTGTGGTACAAGATTATTTAGTAGATTGATCAATGGAGTTACATATGGCTTGCTGGTCGTTCCAGATTCTGGTTTGATTCTTCATCTGATCGAGGACTGCGACTTTGGCCCCGTTTGCTTCGCTAAAAAAACAAGTTGAAATACTATTCCGGTTGATTTATTGTGAGAGAAAAATACTGTTCCGGCTAAAAAAACAAGCCGAAAAGTATGAATTTGTCTTGTAATTCTTCTCCGATATTCTTTTTTTTCAAAAAAAAATCTTCTCCGATATTTTTTCCCCATGGCAAGGGTTTTCGGTCGATCTGATCTGCCGTTGTCGATTGCAGAGGAAACGGTAGATTTTGGCGCAGGCGTTCGACATTCCCCGAACGCTGTCCGCACATGAGTTCGTGCAGCAAGCTCCGCCGCCTGACGCGCGGCGACGACGCCGACAATGGCAAGAT